GTCCTTTATTACTCTAAACAACGTTTGATTATTTACCACCCCTCTTTGTCCCTGTCCTGCCACCCATTTATCCAAACCTATTAGGGTGGTCACTCACTGTTTCTCTCTGCCCCTCCTACTGTCATTTTTATGTAAGTATTAAATTTCACAAGACCTCTTACCTCATAATATATTCCAGAAATTTCAAATGTCTTCTTCTGATTCTTACTATAATTGTCATTTTTGTTCCCGTTCTTCTTAAAACTTCCTCATTGCTCACATGTTCCATTCCTTGTATTCTCAGCATCCTTCTGTAGAACTACAGCTTGAAGTCTTATTTTCAACTTTAAGAAAACAGTCCTACATTCACTGCCATACAGGAGGATTTATGTTGCTTAGTAGTTCATCACTCTTTTCTTTATCTGTCTATATTTCTGAGATTGTAATTATTTATATCATTTACATTGTTCGGACTGTTGTCCTCATCTTTATTTCCATATTCCCGACGTTTCGGCCTTTGTACGCTCCAGCCTTCTTCAGGTGATTGGAATTTCAAACTGAATCCATTATTTCGCCCACCGAGGTGAACAAAACCTTGGATAGTTGAGTTAAAGGGAGATAGCTGGGAGAGGCATGTCACGTGGAACTAGAATAATCTACCCCCGATGGTTTAATTTAAGGGTTCAGTTCAAAATTCCAATCACTTGAAGAAGGACAGAGCGTACAACGGCCGAAACGTCGTGAATATGGCAATAAAGACGAGGACAACAATCCAAACAACGTAAATAATATAAGTATCTGTGTATTCCTGAGGTGAAGTATTTTAACAATTTAAACTATTTACATATTTCGGACTGTTTTCCTCACATTTAGGTTCGAAATTCCTACGTATATCACCTTAAGAAGGTCGGAGAGTACAACTGCCGAAACGTCGTAAATATGGCAATAAAGATGAGGACAACGGTTCAAACTATGTAAATGGGCAATGCTTAAAAAAATCAAAGTGATTTTTCGTTGAAAGTAAAGCGACAATTTTCACTAGAGATCATATAGATACCAGTCTGTCTTAGAAATAGAGGAAAAGTTGATAGAAAATATTTTTTCACAATTTAAAAATTGAAGATTTCGTATAATATTATCACTGATGACACTGTGATTAACCCATGCTGTTGTGAATAATTTGCTTCTAATTTATTCATTTGAAAATACTTCTTAAAATACCCTTTTAAAATAAAAAAATATTTATTTTCCACAGAAAAAAGTAACTTGAACATTTCTCGTTTCTAAAGCTAAATATTTTTACACGTATGATCTTCCTTAACGAAAATCGCCAATGGTTTAAAATGCTGAAAACGTTACTGTCAACGAAAGGTTAAAAATTCATGGAAAATCGGACTTAATCATTATTATGTGTGTGGTTTAGTCGAACTCTGTCTACAACGCAACACAAAAAGGACGGTTACTCGGGCATTTGATAGTTATTTCTATTTGACAGCAGCTTCTCTCAACCTCTTTCCGTGAGAGAGAATGTGAGTGAACAAGTGACGATGAAACAAAACGCAAAATTTTAATAAACGTTATTTTCGTCATTAAATTAGGCGTGCCATTCAGAAGTTAAAATGGCCCCCTTTTCGGTTTTTACCGTGATTTTGATTTTGTAAAGATTTTAAAATATGTTCATAATAAAAATCTTAGGCGGATTTATGAGGCAGGCATAATATCTATCTCACGCACGGTGAACACTAGACCTGGCTTCTTTAATATTTCCCCTTTTCTAGCAAGATTAATGCTAGACAAACTTACATATAAGTTTTAGATTAAAATAAAATTCTTTTCATTTTTCATTCAAAATACTCTATTTTAGGAATACGTTTTCACAACATCGCCCACGTGACGCCGACGTGATAATATTGAAACGGAATGCTGATTTTGAAAAATTTCAGTTGTCTGTTTTGATCAGTCTTACTCTTATGTCCATCGTCTTTTCAAGTTGAATTAAATATAGTCTAATGTTAATTATGTTTTATGAATATGTCCTGAAGATGGTCTACTAGACCGAAACGTCCGACGTTGACATTATATTAACATTAAAACAGCTTAATTGCATATTAGGATTTTTGTTTGTTTTTTTTCGTATATTTTTTCTTCATACTGTCGGATCTATATCCATATATTTGCTTACATATATATATATATATATATATATATATATATATATATATATTTATATATATTTTGTTCAGTCCATTCGTCAGGAGGTATCAGCAACTGATTTCCGTTTTTCTCATTTTTCGCTATTTTTTCGCGGTTTCATGGAATTAATTTATGCGCCACTTGGGAGGTCTTAGTATTTATTCGTTTTAGTTGATTTTTTTCCCTCGTTTTGTGTGCGTGTATGACTGCGTTTTATGTGTGCATTTGTATGTATGTATGTATGTGCATATGTGTCGAATATCGTGTTTATTTATCTTTTTCATCATTTTCTTCTCTCCTTATATTCTCTCCCTGCTACCTTTCCTTCTTTTTTCTCTTTCAGCCCGGAGTGTCAAAGATAGTTAAATTAATAAAAATAAATTTGTAATAATAGTACAATCTGGTATACGAGCTAATAATGAAAACACAGAGATGCCAGATCAGGGCCTATTGAATTTTATATAGTAGGGGAATTGTTTTCTTCTTCCCCTAGCTATGTTAAATAGCAGAAGAGACTGTATTTTATAATCTTGGCTGGCAAATATTCTAGAAATGATGACTCGATAAAAAAAAATCCATCTAAAAAAACAAGGAATAATAAAGTATCATTCGACATTGAAGCTGGACTTTTGAAAATGACCTTCTCTCTGATTCCAATAATAATTTAGTCTATTTTATGAAAGTCTGAAATCAGAAATGTACCCCCGAAAAACTGGAGTCTATTACGCATTAATGTATTATGGAAGCATAAAGGTAGCCCTCAAGACACTCACACATACAGAAGTATCTGTTGTGGATTCCGGGATAAAATCCGGTCTCAAATGAATGACAAACGCAGGAATGAAATATAGCAAATAAATGTATTGACGTAATAATACAATTGGTAATACGGTTAGTAGATCCAGAAATGCGGTTAGTAGCAATAATAATATATATACAGTCTGGGAAATTCAGTATCGAAGTAGGACTTCCTTCTGAGTCTACGTGCTCGCAACTGTGACTCCTACAAAGCGGTTACATCACACTCTCACTCTCACTCTCTCACTGTATCACTCTATCAGTGTATCTCTCGTCTAACACCCAGGCATTTACCGGCAGCAGTACAAGTACACACTGGGCGAGTCCACGTGTATGAAAAAGGGGTGGACCCCATAACAGTATCTTAATTGGATCCATCATATTGAAAGTATTAATTAAGATTACAGTAACCAGTCTTTCATCGTTTTATGAAAGCCAACTTCTCACAAACCAGATTGTTTTTATTTTGGTACAAACATTCATGGTCTTCGGCGTAAGGGTGCGTCCAGAATACAAATTAAAAACCGGGGATACTAAAATCAAACAAGTGCAGACACCTAAATATCTAGAGAACGGAAAATGCGATGCTGAGTTTCGAAGACGGATTTGAACCATTTGAAGATTCCATACCGCATATCCCAATCGAGTATACCAATAGAAAACAACCATCCTGCTCCCCCCCCCGAGGCCAATGTACTGGCGATGTGGAGTTGGGATGAGAATCAACAGAAAATCAGTATCCTATAAAGTGTCCCAAGCAATGAGACTTGAACTAAAACCGTTCTAAAACAGAAATTATGATTTGGAATTGGGATGAAAGCAGTGATGTCACGCGCGCTGAATCCACTATAAAAATATATGATGCGGAATTAGTGAATACTAAACACTTCAGATATCTGATACGGATCAGCTATAATAAATGAAGTACAGGAGTAAAAAGAAATTGAACATACAATAGGTTTGTGCCAAACGTAGTTTCTCCAAACACCGCAAATTGCTACGCAACCAAAACATCAACATGAAAACAAAATTCTTGTTCTTAAATAGCCTCATCAGATCGAGACTTTCATAAGGATGTGGTGCTTAGTGCCAAACCTGTTCATATCTAAACTGACAGTTGTACACAACCGCTTCCGAAGATCAATGGTGAAAAAACACTTTGAGCGAGTGAAGCCTGATGGTCTTGGCAGTATCCATTCTTCTTTGAACATTGTAGACTGGACTTGAAGACTTCCAACAGCAGCAACAACTAAAATGGATATCGCATGTAGCTCAAAGGGAATCAAGAGGTTAACATTCCGCATCAAAACAAATAGAAGGTTTGAAAGGAAACCCTCGTCAACACTAGAAAGAGAAATAACAGCTACTGGACTTTAAAAAAAACTGTTTTCATGAAAAAAGGTGTTTTAAGAGAAAGATTTTATTAATTTCGTGCTGACAGTGTTGACTGCTCGATCAATGAATACCAAATGTTTCCTTATAAGGAAACAGCTAATATTACCATTAGCATTACCTTTTCCCAACAAATCTGGGCCACCCATGGGAATGCACGAGTAATGCACAGTGACTGTATTCTTCAGTTGTGTGAGTTGCACATTCTGCCACAGTTTAAAAAAGCGTTTCTTTCCTTTGTTCTTTTCTCTCTCTTTTTTTTTTTAAAGATGTGTAGTGTTGTGTAATAGATAACGGCTCGCAATGAGAAACTGGAGAGCCGAGTTCGAATTCCAGTCGTGTTCATTGTATTCACTTACATACAAATACATTGGGAAAGGTATGAATCCGTCTATTTTCTCCTTAGCTATGGGTTAAATAGCAGGGGAGATTGGGCCCTGTAGCCTTAGTAACAAAAAAAAAAAAATTAAATTAAACGGTAGTCTACTGCGGGAACATCTTCTGCCTAGTCAATCATGAATCGAAAGAGTCATGATCGCCCAAGCGTGTATCACGTATGGCACTTGACATTTTAATAGAGGACTAAAAATTTGGGAACAACAAAATACCTATACAGCCGAATATCAGGCAATTTTATATCAGGCAAGTCTCGTAAATAAAGAGAAATTGGTCACAGCCATGCATTCATGAAAGGTAAAAAAATGAAATATAAAGACCAAAGTAATGTCAGGCGTCCTTGTCTTAGATTTGCAACACGCAAGACAGGATTCACAAGAAAGGCAGATAAATGGATTTTTAAGGGTCTGGATTTGTTTGGACCTACCTAGAAACAGTGCTAAAAATGTTAATCACAGATGGTGATTAAAGAAAGAGGGATCCGATTAGTGTAACGACCATCAACGCGGAAAGTGGAATTGGCGTGCCGAGTTCAAATTCTGGTCTAGTCTGTTGCTTTCACTTTCCTAAAAATGTCATTGACAGACTGAGATGAGATAAATCTTTCACAGAAAAAATCAAATTCTTGGTTAAAACTTTTAAAATTCCTGTCGTTTTTATTTTGTTCCGATCCCAGAACCAGCTGACGTCTTCCTTGTAAATGCTGTAATACAAACAGACTTCTTAGATAGCCACAAATCGGCTCCAAATTGAATCAGAAATTCGATACTATAGAGTCCAATTTCTTTATCCAATGGCTAAAAAATCACGACATGTATCTTTAAACCACGTTTATTCACAAACTTTATTCAATTTACAAAATGTTGAAAACAAAATTTTATACATGTATCATTTTGTTATAAACCGACAAGCTTTCATTTTGGCGGTTTATTTAAAACATCAGGTCTAAGCCTTAAATATACAAAGTTTTACACATCAAAATGTATTCAAGCCATTTTTTGAACCTTGTGGTCCTATTAGCAGTTTTATATATATATAAAAAAACGAGTTTGTAACTTCTCTTCTATTAATAAAAGTTTCCATTTTAAAACACCTCCTTTAGTAGAATGTTTAATAAACAAACCTAATCTATTTACATTATTTACATTACTCGAACTGTTATAATCATCTTCTAGATCAGAGCACACACACAAACACACACATATATATATGTTCAGTGGAGCTCTTTGCTACCTTGGCTTTTTTTAAAAATTTAAGCACAGCACTAGACTAGAGTCGAGATCTCAGCAATTTACATTTGAGCAAGTTGAGCAACCGTAAATTCTATGCTAACAGTTTCTTCTCTCGAACTTTTTACTTGTGGAAATCCTTTCCGGCTCCATGCTTTTCATCCAATTTTACTCTGCAAGAATTTAAATTCAATGTCGATCGTTATCTAATGTCCTCCTGATTACTCTTTCCTCATCCTATTCATATATTAATATTTCAGTTCCTAATTCTTCAACAGCTTCTAACCCTTTATATCTTAATGGCTTTACTT